GTGCGATCGCTCGTCACTTAGAGCTGAGGTGCCACAACTACTGTATAATGGCTTATTATGGCTCATCACTGGAAGTTTCTCAAACGATGGACATAAGAAAGAGACCAGTTCCTTATGCTATTTATGATTTATTCTATTCTTCATATGGCAGTAATAACTTTATTGGGATAACAAGACTTGAACTGTAAAATCATTTATCAAAGTTTCCCCAAAAACGAAGACAAAATGCTTACCATGCATAGCACTGCATGTACCAGTAAACAGGGTAATTAACGTGTATTTTTGTTTTATTTAGCACGTGCCATAACAGTGTCATGCTTACCGTGTAATGTGCATGTTCTGTTAGACTGCAACCGTGAATAGTCTCACATTAACTTGGCTTACATGCCTGTGCTACTCGTAGTTCAACCAGTGTTGGGAATGAGCAAAAAAAATACATTTTACTTCTAAAAGAACTGTCGTTTAATTTGTATAATTGTCTCACTCGCCACAATACCGTAATGGACCCCTGGTCCATTGCCGCAATTACATAATTCCAGCGTAAGATGTGGTTAAAATACGATTTTATATTACTTAAATGTGTTATGAAATGTTTTGAAACTAATAACTACACATCTAAACATCCCTGTCCAGATCCTTGCTAATTAATAATTTCAGTGATTCTATCCTTAACACAGGTGAGAATGTTGATGAGGACAAGGCTGGAGATCACACTGTCATGCTGATTGAGTTAGAATAGCAGACTGCATGTTTTAAAAGGAGGCTGGTGCTTGAAATCATTCTTATTCCTCTGATAATCATGGGTACCTGCAAGAAAACATGTGCAGACATCATTGCTCTGCACAAAAAGGGCTTCATGGGCAAGGATATTGCTGCTAGTAATACTGCACCTAAATCAACCATTTATCAGATCATCAAGAACTTCGAGGAGAGAGGTTCAATCGTTGTGAAGAAGGCTTCATGGCACCCAAGAAAGTCCAGCAAGTTCCGGGATGTCTCCTAAAGTTGATTCAGCTGTGGGCTCACTCACAATTTTGCCTAAGAACACATCCATGAATAAAGGATGGTACCAAAACATCCTCCAAGAGCAACTTTTCTCAACCATCCAAAAACAGTTTGGCGATGAACAATCCCTTTTCCAGCATGATGGAGCACCGTGCCATAAGGCAAAAGTGATAACTAAGTGGCTCGGGGAACAAAACATCGACATTTTGGGTCCATGGCCAGGAAACTCCCCAAACTTTAATCCCATGGAGAACTTAAGAACATAAGAACTATACAAACGATAGGAGGCCATTCGGCCCATCAAGCTCGCTTGGGGCTCAATCCTCAAGGGATGGGTAGACAAACAAAAACACGAATTCTGACAAACTCCCAGGACTGATTATGCAAGAATGAGCTGCCAGTCAGGATTTGACCCAGAAGTTGATTGACAGCATGCCAGGGCGAATTGCAGAGGTCTTGAAAAAGAAGGGCCAACACTGCAAATATTGCATAATCTAAATGTAACTGTCAATTAAAGCTTTTGACACTTATCAAATGCTTGTAATTATACTTGAGTATACCATAGAAACATCTGACAAAAAGATCTAAAAACACTGAGGCAGCATACTTTGTGAAAACCAATACTTGTGTCATTCTCAAAACTTTTGGCCACGACTGTAGATTTACCTGTCAGATTTCTTCCGTTAGCGTGAAAGTCAGAAAGCGTGTCACGCCAGATGAGAGATGGCAACCTTTCTATTTTGTTTTCAGAGTTTATTGATTGGTGTGTGCATTTACAATAAACATACTATAAAGGGAAATCATTTATGGTATTTAATCCAATTTGAAAATGCTGGACAATTAAAGGTTACGTTTTACTACATATGTACCTTGTAATATTTATAGTTTGGCAAAACAAAAAACTGCAGATCCGTAATCTTTATCTGATCCGGCTTTAGACCAATGTACACATTCAGACCTGCATCCGTTTTGCAGATCCGGACCAAAAGTATTGTTACCTCCTAAACCTATATGGAGTGGTGTATGTTTGCTATCTGGGTAGCTAGTTAACAGCCAGCTACCCTGTGCTACTGAATTTTTATATAATATACTCAGCAGAATTTCAGGATGCCACAACACCCAGGGTGGGCATTTCTGGCGATATAATCTACCGCTGGCGGTCGATTAGTGATGCTGGAGGTAGGTGGAGCTTTAGATGATGCAGGTGTGATGGTGCCGCAGTACTCAGGGGTCCGGGCAGTGCGCCGCCCTCCAGTATGCTCCTCCTCTGGGTTCAGTGGGCCAATCAGAACACGGTTAGTTGGTGTGGTGAGGTGGCCCCTCGACTACCTTCGAATTTCTGGTGTCATGTGCATTGTAGTAAACTCCTTGATACACAGACCCATGATTTTTACTGATTTGTCAAGTGACCAGTTTGTATATACTGTCCTGTTTATGTCACCCCAGCTCCCATTTCCCGGTTTTTGGCTGCGTAGTTATGACTTAATCAAATAAATATAATTTGGTTACACGATTCATTAATGATGAACGAACATGACATTAGTAGCTATGTTTGTGGTTAATTAATACACAAGTAGCTTATTAGTACATTATTTGTGCCCCCTCGTGTAAATTATTACTGTTTTTAGGTCTGCTTGCGCTGGTGTGTCATGCCATCTAGCGCCAGACCAGCTGCGTGAATCAAAAACGGTGGCAGCTTGATTATACCATGACGACGTATATTTATTACTACGTTTTATAAATACAGCACCCAGCGCTAAGTTTTGCTTATCTGTCATGCAGAGACACAGCCCCCCTGCCTCTCCCCACTCATGGAATCTCTGGGAGTCTCCCCCAGCACCTCCATGGAGAGTCAGAAGTATGGATCCCCTGGCAAATTCAAGGGGCCGCAAAGAGGACCCAGGGGGACTGACTCTCCCCCCCCAGCAAATTCTGTCTAGCCTTGTCTCTTCACCTGGGGGCTCGGGGAGACATTTTGTCATGTAGCCTACTTTTGTTCAATAGTCTACTGCCTGCGAATGATGTGCAATGTCAAGTTAATATGTCCAGAGAATTAAAAATGATCTATAGCAGGGGACTGACTACGGATCATACACATTTGTGTTTCTCTATATATCCAACTGGTGATGTATATTATATACATAGGACATTTATATCTTACAAAGGCAACACTTTTGGTAGCATACAAATGTTAATAAACAGTACCACTGTAAAGATTTCAAGGAATGAGCCACACACTGCAATTTACGTATAAAATGTATTTATCTTACAATGAATGACAGAGCAGAACATGTGTGCTACAGATTGCAGCCAGCACCAGGTAGATGTGCACACAGAATGGATGCTGCAGTGTGCCAGATCCGAGACAGGATGGGTTCCCAGCCCAATGGCACAGGAAGCCTCTCGCCTGCCAATCGTGCCCGTCCTCATGCCCACCACGGGCCCATGGACGCCACCATAAATACCGCAGGAAAACAACTGTTGGTTGTTCTCTCTCATGGCGTTTAAGGCATCAAGACGACTCTGAGCCGCCAGTCGGCGCCTCTCAGGGAAGCGGACGGCGCATATTTGGGCATCGTCGCATTGCTGAGTTCTGCAGGGTCACTGCACCATATACCAGGGCAACCTGACCCTCATCTCATCAGAACTGAACATGGGATACCAGAATGCAGAGTGATAAGGCCGTTTACATCGGGATGTCAGATGGGAGCTTCTGTGCCAGAGTTTACAAGTCACGTGGCAAAATGCACCTGAACATCTCCGCTGGTGTTCATACAATGTATTACTTCCCAAGACAGTAAACTCTCTACAATCATTTCTTTAGTTTTTCTGCTTATTTCCCCTGAACTCTAGAAATAATATAGAGGTAAAAAATAAACAAGAGACTGTGGCTGTCATCAGGTCAGGAGTTTCAGGAACCGGTGTGAGCGATCAATAACACTGCGATGAAGGACCATCAGTGGCACAGGAGCAGATTATCAGCTGCCATTGTTTTATGTCCTCTGCTTCCCCACCACCACCCTCTTTGACTTCAAATGAACCAATGAGACACAGGAAGTGACATCAAAGAACCAAATTGGGAAATAAACCCACAGCGGTACCACAGTTCTTGATGAGCTGCCATGCAATTACCAGTGTGGTCAGTGTGACAAGAGCAGGAGGGCGTGCCAAGGCAACAGGTCCCAGAAGAATGTGGACATGGCAGCGCCCGGCCCAACCTGGCACACGGCGAGAGTTTGGTTTTGGGGACAGAGGCAGAGAACGCCTCTTAGGCCAGCACCTGAGCACAGGGGGAATGTCAGTGATGGTCTCTGGGGCCACCAAGGCACAGTCTGACAGCAGGGGAGTCCCCAAGACTGCCCCCCTTCCCCAGCGTCTGGCCTCAACCAGGATCCAGAGCTCTCATATATAGATATACTTTGTCTTTTCTTACTTTCAAAGAGAACAGTTAGGAAAAATATAATACAAAATTTAATACAGGAAATATATGCTACACTTCTTAAAACTGCTTTATCTAATAGGATCTCTGTATACATGATTTTGTTAGTTTGTCTTTTTAGAAGACCTTCCTGGATAGGCTGGTCATTTATAAGGATAAGCTGGTCACACTAAGCAGATACTGCACAGCGCTGGAGGGGCAGTGGCACCACCTACAGCCAGTGAAGAGCCAGTGAAGAGCCAGTGTGCCCCTGTCCAGGTGACCCACAGGAGCACTTGGCTTTACGTGGCCCGAAGCCCCTCTGATTCAGGAAAGTAGCATGTTTAGCTGTATGCATGTCAAGGCTGTTCTGTGTAAAACACAGGACATGTCAGTGTCATTTGCACGTGAACACAACGCACACATACAGGCAAACACACATATACACACACACACACACAACATACATACAGGCAAACACACATATACACACACACACACAACATACATACAGGCAAACACACATATACACACACACACACAACACACACATACAGGCAAACACACATATACACACACACACACAACACACACATACAGGCAAACACACATATACACACACACACAACACATACATACAGGCAAACACACACAGATACAGGCGCACACACACAGGCAAATGCAGATACACACACACAACCCACATCTAGGCCTGAGTTAATCTCTGCCAGGAGTCACGCCACAGACGCCTGTGCTGCTCAGGGTGGATCTCAGACAGGGGGGGCACTGCTTGTGTTCCCCAGCCAGACTTCCCCCACCTGTCTGTCTTATTAATGCTACATCAGGCTACAGCTGGACATTTGTTTCCATCCTGGGTAGCAAGTAGAGCTGCCTCAGTTCAGGTGCACCATTTTTGTTTATAAGCTCCAGTTAAAGCTACAGTTGGAATGTTTGGGTCAGTTGAGCGTCATGTGACCATTTCTAATGACACACTCTTGTCATCTGGGTCAGGCGAAAGTCAGCACCTTACTGACAGACTGGAGTCGCTCAAAGACCTTTATCAGTCTGGTCTGACATCAGGTCTGTCCACTGTCATCTTACCAAATACATTTGGAGTTTTATACTGTAAAGCGCACTCACACACACACACACACACACACACACACATACATACATGCACACATGGTCCTCTCCAGCTACTCAAACCCATACACTGCAGTGAATAAGCTGTGAGCTGCTTTCCTACTGGAAGCTGCAGGAGTCCATGGCACGCAGTGAGGGGGTCGCGGGCCTCACATGGGAGTGCGCCGAGCAGCAGGGGCCAGGAAGGTGCTGGTCTAGGCAGTCTGGGCTGGAGGAATGATGTTTCGCAGACAGGCCTGATGGGGGCAGGGTCCGGGCAATGTGGGGGCCGTCAGAGGCAGCGCTGCAGTCTGTGAGGATGTGTGTAGCTGCCGTCCCTGGAGCCGTAGCGATCATCTCCATCGCTCACGCTGTCCACACTGTCCAGCTCAGCCGGTGCAAACTCCAGGCCCTCGATGTCCACCTCTGCGCACACACACGCGTGCACGCACACACACACACACACACACACACACACACAAAGAGCAGTGAGCGAGATCCTCTTTGATGACTGACTGACTGGAAATATGTGTCTCTCCTTCCCCAGACTGGCTTTAGCACCCAGAAATGCCCCCCACCCCAGCACAGGTCTTGATCGCTATGATCAATGTGAAGCTCTTTTGAAGGCCTTGTTTTAGAATCTTGCCATACTGTGTGCTCCACGTCCCCGTCACACAGGACAGGAACGTGCCCGCACCTTGCTCGGAGTCTGTGGAGATGGTGGAGCCCATGCTGTCGGTGCGGACGCGCTCCAGGCCGGAAACAGAGAGCTGCTCCAGGCGTCGTTTGAGGTAGCGGTGCTCGCGTTGAAGGGCCTCTTTCACATTCACAGCCTTGCGGTCCTGCTCTTCCAGCTTCTGTGGGAGACGAACAGCCGAGAAAAGATATATACACTAATAAATGTAACGTAAATGACGAATGGTACATACACATCAATAGGTAGAAAAGGTACACGATAAATGGTATATACACCGATAAACGCCCCAATTCCCCCTGTTCTCTCTGCCAGGTTCCACCCCTGGCTGCGACGAGACACCAGTCCTTCTGCCTGCCGTTTAGCTGACAACTCGCCAGTGTTTGTAATGTTGAATGACTGCACACATTAGACATCTTGTTTCCGTTCACATTTGGGATCGTTAGCCAATCAGTTATGGCATGTGGGGTGACAACGTGCATTTCCCCATTGTGAGTGTAATAAATCGCTGGAGGTTAGTCAAGTGTGCCCCGCACAAACACACCCCCACTCCTAGGTTTGGGACGAGACGCTTCATTGTGGACCCTGTGCACATTCTGGTGCTGACCACCAGCTCACATTGGTGATTTAATAAGGACAGAAGTATTAACCCAAATCCATATTAAGCCAAAAGCCAATACTTTTACATACTGTATAGGAACCATGCATGAGAAAGGCAGCAAATCACTGCTTCAGACTGCTTCAGGTGCTGCTCTGTGTGGCCATGCAGCAGGGACCCACATCCAGGGTGAAAGCTCACATGTGACCCAGAAGGGCGGTACCTTGATGTGCACCCGGGCCTTCTTAAGCAGGCTCAGCGTGGTGTGCCTGCTGCTGTCTGGGCCCAGGGGCACCTGCTGCTTCAGCTCCTCCAGGTACAGCCGCAGCTTGGCTCGTCTGGAATGCGACAAGGCCGCGTGAGTGCGGGCAACCTCTGTGCTCATACATACGTGCCCAGAGGAGGAAGTACACAGCCTGGACCTTGGCCCTGTGGTTTACAGCCTAAACAGCAGCACTGCACGCCGACGAGGCTGGCCGAGAGCCTGAAGAAAGACAAGGCAGGATCTCAGGCTTGCAGTGAGTAACCCTGCTTCCCCCACCTCTCTCACTGGACACTGAACGCACAGAAAGTAACACAGACAAACGTGCAAACACAGAGTAAGTCCACACAGCCTCCCTGATCTGGGCTGGGGTCACCGAGCCACTTCCTGCAGCTTTAATGATCCATCTGGATGCACAGGCTGCAAAAGGGCTCACAGCTGACAGCAAAAGGCAGCAACTCTTTGCAAAAGCTTATATATCACCTTTTATAACAGTACAAAAGGACAGCAATCATGGCACCACTCAGCCAAAAGAATCCAGTGTGATATCAGCCAGTGGAAAACTAATCCCTGATCAGTACACTGCATGATCACCACAAACTGCTGTACAGAGACAAGTGGCATTTAGACTGGGGCTGTGTGATATGACCAAAATCCATCCATCCTGAAACCGTGGTGGCTTGATGGTAAGGGAAGCACACTTGCAATTGAAAGATTGCAGGTTCGAATCCCCGACCAGCAAGGCACCACTGAGGTACCCTGAACAAGGTACCGCCCCCAAGCACTGCTCCCCGGGCGCTGAATTAGCTGCCCCCTGCTATGTCACGGTGTCACATATGGGTTAAATGCAGAGGACATATTTTGTTGTTGTGTTGTTCTAAATAAATGAAGTGACCCACAAATATGTACAACCCTTTTCACATCTACAAATCGCTCCATATTTTTGTGGATGTGATTTTACAAAACAAAAAAATTACATATTTGTCAACAGAATTTTTTCCTACAGGTTAGCTGCAGTATACGGATCCCCTTAAGAGGTCAGGGTGGGAAAATATTTTTTGAAATTGTCTTGAGTTCCCTCCCAAAAATTTCCTGTTACTAATAACTGTGTTCATTTAAAGTACAAAAATAGAATTAATGGATTAATAAGTATAAACCTAAACAATACAGACATGTCTGTTTAAGTTTGCTTTAAGCAAGCAATGCACACTATGTAACTTTCATGTGTTTTTATATGTATTTATTAATAATTGCAGTGTGTCCATTCACTGCCAGTGACTTTAATTAAGACAGCTGGGCTATTGAAGGTGAAGTGCACACACCAATATTGAAATATTAATTTAAATTCGCCCAGAGAGAAATTTGGAAAACCAAGGGGTGTTGCTTGCTTTTGGCGAAAGATATTAGTTAGAAAATTGAATATAAAGCTGACTTTACTGCAGTCATAGTTAGGGTTTAAACCAGAAGCCGCTTTTGGGTATGCCACTCTGGTATTTTCACTTGATGATGTATACAGGGATATGCAGATATAAAGTCCAACACTGCGGTAAAGTTTGCTCTATATGCACTTTTCCGGTTGTAATGTTTTTCAATGGTTGTAATCCATTTCAGTGTTTGTATGTGTGCACTTCACATTCAATAGCCCAGCTGTCTTAATTAAAGTCACTGGCAGTGAATGGACATTATTAATAAATAATATTAATAAATATTTATAAAAAACACAGAATATTAAAGTTATAATGTGTCCCCCATAGTTTCATGCTTAAAGCACACTTTACAGGACATGTCTGTATTATTCAGGTTTATTCATGCAGGTGGTAATGTGTTTTTAAGAGGACAGTACATGGACACACACTGGGGAAAGTATGAACAGTTTTTATTTTTTTTTAAAGTATTAACAGGATTATATATAATTAATTAAAAAATAGATGGAACTGACATGGGCAAGATTAAGTCGATTAAAGATTCTGAAGGTCGGCTTTGATTACTGGTTAATTGTCTACCCCTAAAATAGAGAGCAATATGCTGTAATGTTAATGCAGAGAATGCTGCCTGATAAAAGCAGAATAGGCCACTGTTGTGGGTCAGTGGCATGACCCGTGCGGCCATCACTCTGCAGCTGCTCATTGTATAAGGCAGAGAGGAGGAGGACAAGGCAGAGGTGGGGTTAGGCTCATGCACAGCGGCCGGGCACACAGGCATCGTCCTGTACCGGCGACTCTTTCTATCACAGGAAGCACAAAAATGAGTAAATGATTCTTATAGGCCTCAGCATCCCTGATTTCCACTGGCACTACACAGTGTTACAGTGCAGTTTGTAAAGAATAGTTTTTGACTTTGCAAGAAAAAAAAAAAAAAAAAACTCTGCAAGGAACATTTCGGTCTCAAATATGGCAGCAGCAATAACCATCTCAAGCTCCACCCTGAAGCCCACTGAGAACTCCTCTGGATGAAGCTGAACTCTGCGTCTTCTCAGACCGGCTCTCTAAACCCACCCCATGGCGATCACGGTATTCATGACTACAGATCTTTAAGCGGCTTGCATGAGGGCAAGACAGCAGGAGGTTGCTCAGTCCGGCTGAGTCAGCACACATCAAGGGGGGGGGGTGTGGCAGTGGGGAAAGAAACAGCCCTTTAAAGAGGCCTGTGGTTTCCAGGCTCAGCACCAAAGCGACGCTGAGGTGCGAACAGCCAGCTGACCCTGACCACTAAGCATATATATGCAGACTCACTGCAGCAAAACCAACATCCGCTGCCTCATGAGCACCACAGTGCATGTGGTGGAGTGACAGCAGCCCGTTCCCAAGGCCACCAGCTGGGAAATGGCTTGTGCTGCAGATGTCTGGTCAAAGCTTTAACTACAAGTGATGTCAAGTCTGATTCACATGAAAGCCTGATCGATAATCAAATCAAACTTTCTTACAGAACAAGAAAATAAAGTTAAATATATATATTTCTCCATCCAAGAATGACACAAAGTCACTTAAAGAACTTGTAGATACATCAGCAATGGGGTACCTGTAATTAGGCAGAAACTGGGCTCCGCTACAATAACAGCAAGCCTTCATCCGGAGACGGAAAACAGCCCGAGATCTCAAGTTTAAACACGACCACTGGCAGGCAGCTGCTGCAGACAAAAGCGGTGAGCTGAAGAAGTCAAGGCAGGTACCAGCATTAAGCCTCATTCCTGTCCACATGGGAGCAGCCTGACTGGCCTCCTGCCTGCGCTCCTCGCAGCGCTCCTGCCTGCTTCTCCTCACAGCGCTCCTGCTAGATAGTGCTCCTGCCTGCACTCCTCACAGCGCTCCTGCTAGATAGTGCTCCTGCCTGCACTCCTCACAGCGGCCTGACTGAGCTCCTCACAGTGCTCCTGGTTACAGCCTGACTGCACTTCCAGTCCCCACAGTCCTGCAGGCATTTCTCAGGGCAGCCTGTCTCTGAAGCAGCCTTCAAACAGACGTCGGACTGAACATTCAAGACAAGTTTGTTTTAGACAAAAAAAAAAAGAATAATCTGCCAGTTTGAAATTGACAATACTGTTGTTTAACCAGTGGAAATGACAGACTACATATACATTTTACAAGTGAAACCTAAAAGCTCAGGGGTTTCACTATTGCTCAGAGGAAGGTACAGTGCGTGATGAAGTCACTGAAGTGCTTGTTTACTCTCACACCATCCTGCAGCCAGACCAGCAACACTGTTCCTGCACCTCCCAGCACAGCCATGGATTAACAGAGGGGTCCACATGCAAGGAGAAGCCTGCGCCAGAGCACAGGAGGTCGAGCCGGCGCCGGGTCTCTCAAGGCTCTGGGACATGTCTCAGCACGTTTCATTTGAGGATATAGCGTCAGTTAATCCTCGGCATGTGAATAACAAACCACACTTTCCAGAGACGTGTGGCATGTCATATAGACAGTGAGAATAACACACAGTCACACTCACATCCTGACCCTCACTTACAAGGCAGAAAAAGCCTGTTCTGCATAATCTGGTTCTGCTGGTAAGTCCAATTTCCTTCACCCTACGCTGGCTGTTATATTTGACCAGTACAGTGCATGAGTCACATGTATATGTTGGTCAGGGTTGTGGGAACTTATCTGAATTACGTTCTGACATGTCCTTTTCAGGCACTGGCATAACCGAAAACAATGTCTTACAAAGCAGAAATAGCCTCGATATCACATTCAAAAGCATTCACCTTCCAGTATTTTCTCCAAGGAAAGGATGAGACTTTTTGGGGAAATTGGAATAGCTGTGATCCACCTTCATGTCTCCCAATACTGTGAGAAGCATGTGGTTAAAGCAGGCAGTTTAAACTTTGGTTGGGTGGAGCTCAGCTGTAAAACATCACATGGACAGCATGCGGTTTGGGGCCACAATGATGGCACGTTCACATGGAGCACGCAAGCTGTCGATCAGACCGGGGGGGGGTTTGGGCAGGAGACGGTGTGGCCACACTGGCGAGGGTCTATCAAGGGCATTTATGACAGGAGTGGCACAGCGGGAATGTCTACATACCTGTGCTTCTCCAGCTCATTGTGTGACGACCTGAAGGAAGAAACAGACACAGAATGCACGTTAAAGTTCATCTGCCGTAAAACATACCACACGCTTCCCTGAAAATGAGCTAACATCAGCAGAGTGCCACAGCTTAGGAACTAAGGGAACAGCTGCACAACCACCTCTCTGCAGATCCGCTGCAAATTCGAAAATGAGGACCTCGCAGCAAGCAACAAGATCAAGGGAGCTATTCTGACAAACATGTACACCACCAAACACCAGCTTGTCCCGTCCCACCCGACACGGGACCTGTGCCTGTGATCGGAAGGTCACTGGTTCATATCCCTGGGTCAGCAGACAGAATGGGGCAGAGTTGTTCTCCTTTATTATAATATATATCCCTCAACATGGCCTGGTAGTGTCATGCATTTCCTTGGTCTCTTTCCAGCATATTTGGCCACCTAGTCATATTTTTAAAAACTGATTGTATGCAACACTACAAAGCCAAAATGAGACAGCACTGGGCGACAGGGGTGAGCAGTGTGTGGCTCAGCAGGTTATGATGCTGTGCCTGTGATCGGAAGGCTACCGGTTCATATCCCAGGGTCAGCAGAACCATGTCTTTGTTGGACACCAGTGGAAAGGCTCTTAACCCCCAATTGCTCGAGGGACTGGCTTACCAGTCTTTCTCAAATTATGTATAAAAGGGTCGGTCTGCTAGCGATTAGCATCTCACTTGCTAGTTAGCTAGCTCAATGAGAAGCTAAGGCAGTTTCCATATCGCATGCTAAGCAGCTAACCTATCGACGTGTTGGCTAAAACGTCCTCAGACTCTGCAGTTAACGTGTTAACCAGATGTTGCATGGCAAGGTAACTTTTTGACCAGGTTAAAGGTTATATATTCTTTGTTAGACAAAGAAGTGCCAAGCCAATGGGGAAAGAGGGCAGTTCCACCGGAAAGCGTCTGCGTCCGGTGACAGGGCCGGGAACAGTGATCGTGACGGTACCAAACACGCACGTACCTAGTGCTCTGGGTCTTCCTCAACAGGGGCGAAGCCTTCGCTTTCTTCCCGGGGAAGTCGCCGTCGTACGGCAAAACGGACGCGTAGCCGTGCTCCGCTTCTGGTGACAAAGCGGACAGAGCTGCTTTTAAACCGGCGTCCAGGCCGTAGTGACACTGGGTTTCAGGCCGGGAATGTCATACCCCAGACTGGGTGTAACGGCAGAAAACCCCGCGTACCATGGCATAGAACACCGAGTATGGAACCCCGGCTGTGATGGTATGAACTCCATCATAACCCCGGAGACGTGCACGGCACCACCCCGAACAGCCCCAGTCCGTCCCAGTCCCCGCGTATTGTCGATTCGGGAGTGTAGCCGGGCCAAAGCCCCCGTCGATCGTGCCGTCCGACCGGATTCAGACGACTGTGACACAGAGGGTTTAAAGTCTTTACCTCGGTCTCTCCTCTCTAGATACTGCGCCGCTTCCAGGAGGATCAACAGAGAATTCAGCTCCATCCTCGGATTCCTCTGGGTAACAAGCTGACGTTGCGAATAGCGAATCCCGAATATATAATGCTGTGTTCGGAAAGGCCGATGAGCTTCGCGATTCCCAGTATTACGGGGCTCTCTGTACTGAATCTGCGGGACCTCCAGCCAAGTCCATGTCAACTGTACAGCTTCCAGCTCCAGATAGACGGCTTCCGTAACCAATGAAAAGCAGAACTGCGCTGGCAGGCCCAGGATTTCAACCAATAGCCTGCTGGTATATATATATGCGTTTTTTAAGGGGACCTGCTGATACAGTGTGTACCCTGATTGGTTTGACAGATAGCAGTAACGATTAAGATTTAGAAGCAGGCCCTAGCAACAGCACATATGACCCAGCCCAGTAATCGCTCATTGGTTTGTAGAGACGTTCTTTGGTCGCTGATTGGATAACGGAAATGTAGTGGACGCGGCTTGCCTCCTAGCGTCTGGTCACGGAATGCCAAGACAGAGAAGGAAGCTGTTGGCCTTTCAGTGCGGCGGGCCGTCGAAGGACTTATATAAAGCGCCCCCTGTATGTATTTATGTTAAGACCACTTGCCCTGCTCGTATTTACTAATACGCCGTAAATCAAAACTGAAACATTGAAACTGAAAGTATCATTCTTGCCTGTGTTTGTTCTTAATGCAGCATCGTGGATAAAAAGTACCACAAAAAGCTCTGCGTGAGTTATATAGGATGTTTTAATATATTCGACATACGTAATTTTCAGTAACTTCTAGATATATTATTCACAACAATCAAGTTTTAGGCAAGTGCAATGGTTCAGACAATGCCGAAATGCCAGGAGGTAAGGAGAGGCATGGATGAAATAGAATAAGTTTTTTTATTTTCTTTGTACAACATACAATGAACTTGAAAGACGGAAACTCTCAGCAGACAGGCTGTGTGGCAGGACCAGTTCTGTAAAGTAATGTTTCTCAACCTTTTTTGCACCGCGACCCAATTTTTACCATGCCAGCCCTGTTGTGACCCTATATGAAGTACAGCCATAAATTAATGCTATGATCAAACACACAGTGCACTCTGCAATTTACATCATTCAATGCCTATTGCGCAAATCTGATTGGTTGTGCACTGAATTTTAAATTGTGGTTTGGTTTCTTGGATTGGTTGAGTGTTCAGTAGTTTTGTGTTAAGCATTTGCAGACCCAAGACCCATATATAGGTTAATTCTAGGATTGGGGCTGGGAAATTTAATCGTGGATCAGCACAGGAGCTTGCTGGCTTTAAAATGCTTACATTTCCAACTCTGCCTCGCGACCCTTTCAGATCTTGCCACGACCACAATTTGCGTCGGGACCCATGGGTTGAGATTTGCTGCGCTGTGCGGGTATATACAGAAAACCCTGTGACGTAAAGGAGTGCAGCGCGCAGGTATCTACAGAGAAGCCCTGTGCCGTGAAGGAGTGCGCCGTGCGGGTATATACAGAAAAGCCCTATGTTTGCTTTATCAAAATAGATCAAAAGAATGCAGAAACTGAGCAAATGAGCTGTGAGCCATTTTATCTGACAACTGAAACTGGGCATTCCTCAAAACAGAACTGCTGTACAGTACATGACTACACTTATGTGTCTTATGTTTCATCGTGGTCCAGGGGGAATGACTTCTTGTATCACTCTATACTTGTGTATGACTGGCACGACAATAAAATCCCACTTGATTTTACTTGACTATTTTTGCACTAATTTTAGACTCCTTTTGTGTAACCCAATAGGTTTGGAGCTGGTACAATCTCGAAGAGCCTTCTCTCCCAAACATCCCCAGTCTCTCCCAATCATCCACAGTCTCTCCCACTCTCCCCCAGTCGCTCCCAGTGCTAAATTACAATGAGATCCCCAGTGGTGCGTATCCTGATTCCTGTTCATCTCCCTCCCGCCATGTTTACGACAGAATAGCCGTCTTTGTTTTTTACAACCTTTCATTAAGGCTTGTTTTTTGCCTCTTAATGTTTACTGCCCCCCTAGGACAAATTCTTACAGTATGACAGTCCCTTATTAGAATAAATGTGCTGAAATGTCTTGCCCTCTACATGTGTTATCTGCTTACATGACACTGCTAAATGCCCTCTTTTTACCAATAAGGAGAGTTCCTCCGGCAAGCTAGCCTGTTAGCACATTTTAGCATGCATTTACTGGCTCTCACTCTAACACAGGGCTGAAGTGAGGCCAGGGTGCTCTTGGAAAGAGGTGTTTCTTAGCAGAACTGCTGCACTTTACTCTGCTAACCATGAGGCTGCCCAACATGGCGGCGAAATGGAAAGACGGTGGACTCTGATAAAATCTGAAAAAGATATTTGCAGGGGTGTCAGTGGAGCATGGAGACCCTGCAGATTCCAGGGGACAGTGCTTGACAGGAGCCTTTGAATACATAAAATTATATGTAAACTTGGGTGGGGGGGGGCAAGGTGACATTTTGTCAGGAAAAACTAACGATCTTTTTTATAGTGTAAGGTTCCATTGATATTTGTGATGTGAGGGGCTCCTTTCATCAGAATTAGGATATAATTTGCCAATAATATGCCAATGTACTTGGACCTCCCTCTTTGGGACACGGCAACCCACAGAGCAGTACTTCCTGTGCTGTGCACCAGTATGACATCACAGTGGGACGGCCTCCCCGCAGACCTCACAGCCTCGCGGCAGGTCCACCGCTCCTTCTTATCATGCTGCAGAGCTAAAGGTCTCACATTGGCTGTCATGTGCCCTGTGACAGAAAGTCACCCTCTGCTTGAGTATGAGTTGCTGGCATGAGCAGCCTTTGGAGGCCTCAGTTTGGCCCTGATTTTAAGACTCTGTGCATTTACACAAGTGTCCAGCTCCTGTACTGCTGTATGTCTTACTGGAAGGCTTCAGCAGGCCAGTTTATGGGTCACTGTGGGAGAGCACTGCTCAACAGATAAGGCTCTGCAGGTCTGTAAAGCAAAATCATTTTCATCTGAATCCAAGGTTAAATCGCCCTGCACAACAGTTCCAGAAGAACCAAGCGCACGTGGCATGGTAAGTGCCCAGCGCTGGCAACCTGCAAGCTCACTGCTTTCTGCATCATGAAGAATCTGCCCCCCTTTGCTGATCACCTGCATGGCTGTGCACATTTAAGCCCCCTCATAGAGACCCAATGCACCAGCCTGTCATCCTTTCTCTTTGTAGATCATCCGAAAGTGAAGGTTTCATCCCTGTGAAGCAACCCAATACTTAGTCACATGGTCAGATATGTAAATAAAGGTATGTGCACATGTGACGTGTTTACACACACTGAACTGTCATGAACGCATGTCCTATTGCTGCTATGGAGGCAGCCAAAAGCATCGGGTGGGGGGGGCGTCATGTCAGCTGGCTGATGGGTGGAGGGATCCCCCCCCCCAGCTGGGGGAGTGCATTGACAGGCAAGTACGGTGAATGGCTCAGGCCTGTGAGGAACATCAGGCAACGCAGAACCAGCTAGCATCAGAGTGGAGAGGCTTGGGCTGAGCTCCAGTGGACTATAGGATCGTGTGTTTAGTAAGTAATGCCAGTGAAAGCAGGAGACATGGTGCCATCAGAAAGTACACCATGAATCGGGTGAGAGCTGAAGCAGCAGGCCGCTAACTGCCAGTAGCATTTGCACACCACAGAGGATCTGATCACGACATTGGAGATTCATCACTCTGAGAAAACTAGGCTCACTGAAACCACACATGCCCCCCCCCAACCCCACAACCCGTGGCTCAGCCCACACAGCTGTTTCTCATCAGTTACCCTCAGCGCTGACCTACATTCGACTGCTTATCTCCAAACTCACAGGCAAACTCTGGCTCCTGTGACCCCCACGGGAAGCTCCTCATTTCCAAAGCCCCCATCAAGCGACTGCTGGAGACATTCGCCATGGCGCCCTTCTCTGCTTCCTTCCTGTCAAACGTTCCCTGGGCTCCCCTTTGACTCCTGCCTTATCCAATCATGCCGCTGACTGCCTTTGCAAAGGCCCGTGGGGCTGGCTGTTTGCCCCTGACCTGCCAGTGGCTGTGTCCCTGCGCTCCTACTTCGTTGTCTATATGACACAGGACAGAGCCAGGACAGAAAGCTTCTGTTGAGTAAACCGTCTTGTGGTGTAGTGGCACCAGACCACTACACTGTATGGGGAGAGGTGCCTTTTGGAAGGACAAGGTTTTCATAATTGAAAGAAAACCAAAGGAAGCCACATTCATCCTCAGAATTTGTTTACAGCTCAGTAACAGTTGTAAAGATGAAATATTTGAACCATGCATGTGTAAGCTCGTCGCATGGAAAGCCGCTGCAGCCCTGTAACATATATGTATCTCTCCCTGATGCCTTTGGCTGCTCGTCGCATGGAAAGCCGCTCCAGCCCTGTGACACACATACATCTCTGTGAAGCAGTACTTCCCCTCTCGGCCGCCTCTGGTCTGCGTGTTGCATGATCACTCCAAGGTGAACACACCCACACATTTCCTCACTCTGCAGCTGATCTAGCTCTCAGCTGCCCATCTGCAGCTGCAGCCCCTCCCCGCAGCAAGGCGCTCGCTGCCAAGCCAATTGTGGGCGTGAGCAGCACCTGGCACAGCCCATGTGGCACCCTGGGTAAGCTTCACCGCTACGCCTCCCCGTCTCAGGCGAAGGAATTGACACCCTATCTAAATAAACAGCTGCCACAGTTACCTAATGGGTCAGCCGGCCCGAGGGCGTGAGCAGAGTGAGCAGGGGTAAGAGCCTGAAATGCAAACAAAGACTAGTAGAGGAGGTTCTGGTGACGAGGGAGGTAAAACACCAGCCTGCCCAATCAGAGGCCATGCTGCAAGGCGCGCTTGAGGATAGAGTCGCCAACCAGTGAAGGGTTCAGTGAAGGGACGAATCAAAATCACCCTTATTTCAGGATGTCCCGGACAATTCGGGACGGTTGGCAACCCTACTTGAGGATGTGCAGTGAGCCATGTTCTGGATCACTTAAACCAGCATCGGTGAGTTTAGAGAAGTAGCTGTTAGCTTTGTTAGCTAGCGGGCCAGATCATCCCTTCCATCACCTTTCGGACATTTTCTAATCAAAAACCATGTGATGACAACTCTATTCGGGATGCAGTGAACAGCTGCAACACTGCACTCAGCATCTACTGCATATTTCATTCTTTCTATATTGGTTGCTTTCCTACTTTTCATGCTGCACCTTCATTTACTACATTGTTAACCCAATAAGAGCTCATCGCTACTCATTTACTGTATGTATCACATATAATGTGATACATATAATGTGATATCATATCCTTTGCACCTATCTACTTAATTGCATGATGCCACTTTGCCTGATGCCACATTCATATTAACCCGTATATAAATCTGTACATGTATAATTCACACTTTCTGTATAGATCATTGTATTGCTTTATTTATTTACATGATTTTTCTAATTCTATTTTACATTACTCTTACACATGGCATTGAATTATTTGCAGATCTCAGGAGCGTTACAGGGTTACGTTTCATTACATGTTACGTGTGTAACTGTTTATGTGACAAGTAAAGCTCTCAAATCTTGATGAATAAAATAATATTTCTTGTTATAAAACCAATAAATTTGTTTATTACAGAATTAAGCAGGGTGGCACGGTGGTGCAGTGGTTCCTGCTGCTGCCTCACAGCGAGAAGATGCTGGGTTTGCTCCCCAGGTTGCGTGAAGGTCCTTCCTGCGTGGAGTTCGCACGCTCTCCCCGTGTTTGCGTGGGCTTCTGCCGGGGACTCTGGTTTCCTCCCACAGTCCAAAAGTGTGCAGGGCAGGTTGATTGGCAAGTCTAAATTGGCCCTGTGAGTGTGAGAGCAGGTATACCTTACCTTATAGGGACATAATGTCCCCACAACGTGAATGAGCGGTCCCCATAAAGATGTGTTTACCCGACGCGTGTGTGTGTGTGTATGCGCCCTGAGGTGTGTTGGCGTCTGCCCAGGGTTGGTTCCCTCCTGCGCCCCTTGTTCCTGGGATAGGCTCCGGACCCCCCCATGACCCCATTTGGGATTAAGCAGTTATGGTGATGGATGGATGATTTAAGCAAATGTCCCAAGACTTTCTGTGAGCCCTTTATATGAAAGGGAATGGATTCAGTAAAGCACTGAAGCTTCACCTTGTCATTCCTGCCTTCACATTCCTGATTTCATTGCCAGCCTATGACTGTCACTTGACTTGGTTTCCAAACAAGGGCCTAGCACCTGTGTTTTATAAGCCAATAGAGCTCATCTCTGCCCCAAGGCTGTACATTGCTCTGCTGCCTCAGCAGCATTTTCCTCATTGCTCTGTTGCCTCAGCAGCATTTATCTCATTAGTCTGCTGCCTCAGCAGTGTTTTCCTCATTAGTCTGCTGCCTTAGCAGCATTTTTCTTATTAATCTGCTGCCTCAGCAGCNATTTATCTCATTAGTCTGCTGCCTCAGCAGTGTTTTCCTCATTAGTCTGCTGCCTTAGCAGCATTTTTCTTATTAATCTGCTGCCTCAGCAGCGTTTTCCTCATTACTCTGCTACTGAGGCAGTATTTTCCTCTTTAATCTGCTGCCTCAGCAGCATTTTCCTCATTGCTCTGTTGCCTCAGCAGTATTTATCTCATTAGTCTGCTGCCTCAGCAGTGTTTTCCTCATTAGTCTGCTGCCTTAGCAGCATTTTTCTTATTAATCTGCTGCCTCAGCAGCGTTTTCCTCATTACTCTGTTGCCTCAGCAGTATTTATCTCATTAGTCTGCTGCCTCAGCAGTGTTTTCCTCATTAGTCTGCTGCCTTAGCAGCAT